CCTCCCAAAGTGCTGGGATTACAGGCATGAGCCACCATGCCCAGCCAATTTTTTGTATTTTTGTAGAGATGGGGTTTCACCATGTTGGCCAGGCTGGTCTTGACCTCCTGACCTCAGGTGATCCACTCACTTCAGTCTCCCAAAGTGCTGGGATTACAGGCGTGAGCCACCGCTCCTGGCCCTCTGTATGAAATTCCTTTTTTTTTGAGATGGAGTCTTGCTTTGTCGCCAAGGCTGGAGCGCAATGGTGCCATCTTGGCTCACTGCAACCTCTGCTTCCTGGGTTCAAGCAATTCTCCTGCCCCAGCCTCCTGAATAGCTGGGATAACATGAGATGACAGGCACAAGCCACCATCCCCAGCTAATTTTTGTAGTTTTAGTAGAGATGGGGTTTCACCACGTCAGCCAGGCTGGTATCGAACTCCTGAACCCAGGTAATCCACCAACCTCGGCCTCCCAAAATTGCTAGAATTACAGGCGTGAGTCATCGCACCTGGCCATGATTTCTAAGTACCATTTGCTAATTGATTGCACCACTGGAGCCACTGTCCTCTGTATGATTTCTGATCTCCTTCACTTCAAGCATATGAGAGTGCTCTACTGTAAATAGCTCAACTTCTTCTTAGAAGTGCGTGGAGGCAAATGTGATAAAGCAGCAGCTCTAGACTCCCCTCCTGTCTCTACCCCTAGATCCAGGTGCTGTGGACTTGGAGAAAGTAGCCAATGTGATTGTGGACCATTCTCTGCAGGACTGTGTATTCAGCAAGGAAGCAGGACGCATGTGCTACGCCATCATTCAGGTTGGGGGTTGGGAGAGTAAAGGAAGCTGCTTTGAGGAAGGTGCTTCAGGAGTGGGCAGAAGGCCTGGCCTGCAGGACAGAGACAGGCATAGGATGGGTGGGGTTGCAGGGGCACCACCCCCCGCCCTTCACCTTCCTCTCCCTGGCTCACAGGCAGAGAGTAAACAAGCAGGCCAGAGTGTCTTCCGGCGCGGACTCCTCAACCGACTGCAGCAGGAGTACCAGGCTCGGGAGCAGCTGCGAGCACGCTCCCTGCAGGGCTGGGTCTGCTATGTCACCTTTATCTGCAACATCTTTGACTACCTGAGGGTGAGGCCCTGGCAGCCACCCTGGGAGGCAGACATGGCCGTCTCCTGAGGCCCAGGTTGGACTGCTCCCGTTGGTCACTAAGCCCGGTGCCCTGGCCCCTCCTCCCCCTCACAGGTGAACAACATGCCCATGATGGCCCTGGTGAACCCCGTCTATGACTGCCTCTTCCGGCTGGCCCAGCCAGACAGTTTGAGCAAGGAGGAGGAGGTGGGTGGCCCCAGTCCCAGCATAGGCACAGAAGGCTGCGGGATGAACAGTCTGGCTCAGCCGAGTGCTAGCCCACTGCTCAGTGAGGCCTTTGAGGATGTCACTTCTGGGGCAGGAGTGTGGGGGTGTTTAAGGCCTGTCAGAGTTACACGACCAGCTGTCAGGTGTGGAATTTATCCAGAACAGAAAGCAGCCAAAACCTACTGGTTCAGCAGCTTCCTTCCCAGTCAGAAAGCCAACCTATGATGGTGGCCATGCGAGCCATGGCCAGCTGTGGGTACAGATGGCCCTGAGGCCAAACCAGGGTCAGGCAATGTGGGGGAGGCAGGAGAGTGGGATGAAGAAGTGGTTTGGAGACAGGCATTGAGTGGAGCCTGGCTAGATGAGAGACCTCAAGTCATGTCCCTGAACTCGTCTCTTTCTCTGTAAGATGTGGAAATACCCACTGGATGAGGTGGAGGGAGCAAGAGAACGAGTGTAAAGGCAAAGCACAGCACCTGGCGCTCGGCAAATGCTGTGTGAGAAGCTGGCCCTGCCCTGGTTCACTTGTGTCACTCCCACTGTCCCCTGCAGGTGGACTGTTTGGTGTTGCAGCTGCACCGAGTTGGGGAGCAGCTGGAGAAAATGAACGGGCAGCGCATGGATGAGCTCTTTGTGCTGATCCGGGATGGCTTCCTGCTCCCAACCGGCCTCAGCTCCCTGGCCCAGCTATTGCTGCTGGAGATCATTGAGTTCCGGGCGGCCGGCTGGAAGACAACACCAGCTGCCCACAAGTATTACTACAGCGAAGTCTCCGACTAGGCCTCCAGATCAGGGCTAACTTGCCAGCACCAGCC